CCCCAAAACCCCAAAACCCCAAAACCCCAAAACCCCGATACAGTTAGTAAAGATTGAACAATATCAAATTATTTCCCCATCCCATCTCTCAAAATATATCACTTCCCAGAGGGTCTGGAGTTCAAAAAATAATACTTCTGCGTTTTAATCGCTATCCTATCCTCCTCTGCTATATCTATAACATTCCCATGCTGGTCATATATCGACTCTATACCATAACCTCCCTCCTTACTCTTCTTCTTCGGCGTGAGTGCCACCTTCCCCTTCTCATCACAACTCTCCTCAGTCTCTTCCTCCTCCAACATCTTCCTATACTGCTCCAATAGCCCGACCAAGAAGTTAATCCTCCCGTCAAGAGTATCGACATCTATCTTCTCAAAGTCATCCTGCACAAGTCCTAGCTTAACTTCATACTTCTCACACTTGATCTTCTCCAGCTGGTAGTCTTCCTCCATCTTGCTTATTTTTTGGTTGATCTCTTCGATGAACTCGACTAGTTCTTTATTGTTTTGTTCGGACTCTTTCCACTCTTTGTTCTTCTTGGTGAGGACTTCTTCGAGGAGGCGGATTTTGGTCTGGTAGTTAGATTCGGAAAGTTCCCATTGGAGAGTGGATTTGTCCTTTTCTTGTGCGAGGAAGGTGTATTCGGAGTAGATTTTATTTGAGACAGGAGTTTAGAGAGTCGATCTCGGACTTGGATTTTAGAGGTATTTGTTTTCAAGATGTTTTGCAGTCATCTCAGAAGAAGATAACTTAATTTTTAATTTACTCACCTAGAAGGTTAATGATATATTACTTCTTCATTCAAACAATCTACTTGAGATGTTAATGAATCAATCTTTTGATGAAGAATAGAGATTTTTGTATTTTTGGAACTATTTTCAGACTTTAGCTTAATTATTTGACTTTCATTTTTCTTTATATTCTTACGCTTAGAGTTTTTAATCGCAGATCTTCAGTTCCGATCATACAAGCTGAATAGTTCTAATCAATGCTTGCTGTCGACATTAAAGGAGCTAAATATTAACCATTAATGCAGGAAATGCTTACTCATCAATTTCAAATCTCTGGCTTGGCATATTTCTCATATTAAGAAAGCTTAAATGTCTAGGATTTTGTACTTTCTTGTTCGACTCCAATGACATAAAGTTATCCTGCAATACCTTAGCTTTAGTCTTCTTCCTCTCAGTAGGATGTCCAGACTTCCTATTTTCCTTATATTCAATAGTTCGGTTCTTAGCCTTCCTATTTCTTGACCAAATTTAGAGAAAGATTAAATATTGGTTCATAACCAACTACATAGAAACGAGTATACTTACAGAGGTGACTCTGGATGTAAGTTCTTTAGAGTTGCTTCTCCTACACCTATATTCCAGTTAAAATATTCCTAATCCTCCAAGTTATTTTAAAATATTCAAATTTGGAAATTGTGATGATCACGGGCTTTTATAATACCCAAGTAAGTTAGTTTGTCCTTTCATTTTGACAAAAGAGTTTACTTTGGGAATAAAATGCTTCTAATATGGCTTCAAGATTATTCCTGAGTAAGCATAATGTGAAAACAAGTCTCCATTTGAGACCACAGATCAAGTTAAGCATTGTTTTAAATAAATTAAGGAATATTTATCAATTTTTATCAGAAAAGGTATTGAAATTCTGCCAAAACTGGCAATTTTATGAAAATATAAAAAGATCAAAGTGGTACCCTATCTTTCTGATCATGCCTCAGAATGATTTCAAATTCTTTGATTTAACTTTCTCCATTTGCCTCAAAATTTATTAACAAAGTATTCAATTTTGTCATTTAAAATCGGGGTTTTGGGGTTTTGGGGTTTTGGGGTTTTGGGGTTTTGGGGTTTTGGGGTTTTGGGG